TTTCTTTCTTTCTTTCTTTCTTTCTTTCTTTCTTTCTTTCTTTCTTTCTTTCTTTCTTTCTTTCTTTCTCTTTCTCTCTATCTCTCTCTCTGTCCCTCTATCTCTATCTCTGTCTGACTCTGTCTCTCTCTGTATCTCGGTATCTCACGATCATATAGCCGCCGGCTTACTGGTAACTTGTAGGTCTTATTGGCTGCGGACGAGTTTCCCGATAAACTTTTGGTGGTATTTTCAAAAATTCTTCAAATCTTTCGATAAACTTACGATGTTAATCCAAAAATATTTTCAATCTTTATGTTCCCGATACCGTCGCAGCCCGTTCTATTTAAATACCCTCTATGGCTTTCTTTTATCCATATATTGACTTTGCGTCATCGATTCTTTTTGATTTGTTTACCTTCATAGGGGGGTTCAAAATGGTTCGTTACATAAGTAACTCCGGAATGTCCTCGCTATTTTTGTCACAGTGGGAAACTTCAATTCCGGCGATTACTACTGTTAGGCCTACCTGTGCAGTTCGCGTTGGTTGTTTAGTTATCTTCTGTAGTACTTTTCAACCGACCGGATCTTTGAGAGATGAAGGATTCCCTCGACCAAAATGGGATTGAACGCTCAAATGTGGCACGTGCTAATGACTTCTTCTTCCACTGAATCACCTCTAACTATAACCGGTGGTGCGAACCTATTCGACTATTTAGATATCCCCTATAAAGAAGCCTAAAGCTGAAAAGTTCATCTACAAAACAAACTACTATCCAGTAACCCCATGCGCATGATCCTCAGCTCGTATCGGATCATTATTATACCAAGTCAATTCAGCCTCCATCCCCTCGAGACTTATCTGCTAATTGGTGTAGGATTCATATGGGAAGATAAACTGTGTTGAACATCGGCTAGTCTCATTAATAGTTGCTTAGACGTATGTTTGCCAAACGTCATAGGCTTGCGGTATAGGTTTCACTGGCAAGGCAACGCAAATGACGCCTTCCTGGGAGCCTTTTCCTGTTTCGAGCCGGATCAGTTTGTGTAAGGATCCCATAAAGAGGAGCAGTCATTGAGAGCCTCTAAACGTGCTAGCAAATATTTGATGTACCGAAAATTACCAATCGGTGATCGGTTCAGTCCTATTTCCATCAGATGTTCGACCAGCACAGGGCCCAAGAATCTCCTAAACTACTGGACATAACTGACTGAAAGGTGAAGAAATGATGCACGTGCCATTATCGTGCACTTTCGCATGTCTGATGACGTGTGAGGACTTTATTATTGCTTGTCAGTTGTCATCAGCTGATGTCGTCAAAAATATTCAAATTCAAGGATTTTGGGGAGTCTGTTAAGTACTCTATTTAATAATATGCTCGTTCTCTGAATCCATCTCTGTTCTTAGGACTATGTCCAGACATATGCGATATTTGCACTTCAAGTGGGTTCGGATGTTGTCATGAGGTGGTGCCATTGAAGATCATCAGGTGTTGCCGAAGTTGAGAGGTTTTACAGGGACTTTTGGCCTCTTTGTTGAAGTTGCTTGTGTTGCTGTTACTTGAAGTCTTCAATCCGGCGTTCATTCGAAGACGAGCAGCACGAGGGCGATCCACAGTGCAAGAAAGTGCTTAGCTAGTTACTCAGAAGTGACACTGTCTGAATCTGTGACCCACCCGGCCTAATCACCAGGAAACATCGGATTTTCAGAGAAGACTCTGAGGCAACGAAGGTGGAAGGCTGAGATGATGATCTGTAGCCTTCTGTAAATAATCACTCATAGAAAAGCGATGTTCCACAACTTGAGCTACTTCCCGAGTGCGTGGCGCAATCCAAATTGAACTCTTTACTCTAGATTTTTAAATATACAATAGTCCGACTGCTTGGGTTAACAGTCATTTGGCATCCACTTCTTGGTTCCTTACTTGCTTGAGTGACCCTTGGCTGGCTGTGGCTCCTTATTAATAAAACAATTGTTTTTAAGTCATCTGGCATCTCTTGACCATTCAGAACAAAACGGCCGGTCACCTAACTTTAGCTCTTTACAATACATTTATAAATCTCATGAGAGTGAGGGAACAGAAATTCGAATATAATGATAGAAAGTAGTTTGAGGTGTGGTAAAGTGGCAAATGGCGCACACTATCTCATGCGTGGATCTTATCGAGCTGCATACTCACCGGCTTCCCATCTCTTCGGGCTCGGTCAATTGATAGTAGACTTGCCTGAAGGTAAAGGCACTGTTTTCTACGTGGGTTGGTCACCCAGATCATTGTATAGGCCGCATACGCATTCAAAACGTCGCTGCAATTCTGATTGGAAGTCGAATGCATGGCGCATCTCAGAGGGGACTGATCGATGTCAAAGAAATCTTTGATCCTAGAATGTAGACATGCCGTTCATTCATAAAAGGCTTACGAATGTACTTTGTTTTTGTTTTCGATGTCGGGATTTGACACGATCTCGTTCCCGTTCATCGAGTGGTCCTCACACCATTCAGCACGTACCTCTAGGATGTCAACCAAAGCCACTCGAAATAACCGAGTTTTTCTTACTATAGCGCCAGACTCGAGACAGGATGTACAGCTCATTCCGTGGCCCAGTAATGTCACGTCACAGTCATGATTCATCATAATGACTGGTTCTACAACAAATTGCTTTTGACAGGATTTAGAGAGGTACCGCAGGAGTTTCCCTTACGATGGGAGTAACTATACAGATCTGGTTTCGATGGTAACTTTCAGACTCCTCAGGGGTCAGAAAAAAGAGTGCCTTTCATGGAAGAGGTTCTAACGTATTTAACAGTATTTAACATTGTGAACTGCTTCCTTGATAATGGTGGGGGGGGGGGGGGGGGGGGGGGGGGGNGGGGGGGGGAAGAGGGGTTCACGTCAAGTGCGAGGGTCAGATTCGGGATTCTGTTTCTGTCTTCGATCAGGCAGTAATTTCGTATTCGAACCCATTTTGGACTTTTTTCACATATAAAAAATTCGAAGGTCCAAACAGACAAAACTTTCTCGGCATTCTTCAAGAAGTACCGGTGCTCGAGTCTGCCCTATAGAGTATAATTAGGCTTTTATCCGTCTAAACATGGTCTCCAATCTATCCACTGAAGTGGGATACACCATGCGCTTGCGCTTTTCAAAAAAAACAAACAGGAGGTGCAGAGCATTTAGTTCTAATCGAATGATTGAATAGGTTGCTGTACAGGTTTCAAACCAAAAATGACTTGGAAAAAGTTGTAGGTTGATTGATCTGGTTTGTGTTCGTTACGATTTACTTTTTGGTAAAATGGGTTTTCTGTCATTAACCTTCTGAGCATTCTGCGTCTAGAATTCTTAAATCACTTGCCTAAGTTGTCTTGCTGTTACGGAGGATTGCAACAATTCCCAAGTTTTTGTTATTCGCAACGATAAAGTTTTTGGGACTTTTGAGCGCTATATTTTGTCGATCCAGCGTAACGTACAGATCCCATGAGGGAGACCTTCAGACAGTCCGACTGGTGATAAATCGCTCGATGATAAGGCAGATTACTGATAACCTATCACCAAGTCATGGCCGTCATGGATCTCGTAATCCTCTAGAAACGGTGTCACTTCCGTTTGCAGTAATATAGATTAAATCACATAACTAGAGCCGAAAAGAACCTGGAGGACTACGGGCTACAGTATTTCGGTCGTTGTACTTTCAACCACTTTTGTTAATTACTTTGTTTGCCACTTGAAATTTCTCGGTATTTCGATTTTTCCTATCGCTATGAGAGGATTGGATAGTAAATAGAAGTATTTTGCTTTACAACGCCTTCTCAGAACTATAGACTTTTACTGATTTTTTTTAGTTTATACTTTTCCTACTCTTCCTCTCGCGACCTACTGTAGCAGTGTTATAGTTGCGGTAACTATTGATTTAGTCGCTAACCGGTTCAAACGCAAAACTGGCGATTTCTCGTTCACCATGTTTTTACATGTTAAATCAGCCGTTACCTTACCGCACGCAAACTAGTTGGACGCGTGCCAATCCGCTACCTCTTTCTCTCTCTGAACTTGGCTTCTCAAAGAATTATTCTTATCTCTTTGTGCCTTCCTTCGATTTTACTAATAATTGCTTCCTCCTCATACTTCTTGGGTCTCTCCCCATTTACAGGTTCAGGTCCCCTTTTATTCGACCCATTGAATTGGCATTTGTAGACCAAATAAAGAAGAATTTTTCATAAGGCGATCTTTGGGGCATTTCGCATGCTTCGAAGCTTATCCGGTTCGGAATCCATTTGTTTTTGATACCACATTTTAGTGTTGCAATGGTTAAGTACGTATGTAAGAAAAGATGTGGTGTAGTGGCAAGTGACGCATTATCACACACGCATGGTTACGTGTTCGAATCCCGATCGATTTGGATCAAGGCCAACCAAGCTCCCATCCCTCTGGGTTTAGTTTATGGGAACTAGACTCGTGTGGGAGGTACAAGCACTGACTTGTACATCGGCTGGACATCTCAAGTCATTGTATGGGTTGAATACTCATTCAATAGGCCAGTGCGAATCCCAGTTTAGCTGAAATGTTATGCGCATCCCAAAGAGGTATCGTGTACACCACAGACTTTGTGCTCCATCCTTAGGCACTAAGGTACTGTTTTTTTATGGCCCATGTTGAACTGCGCAATTGACATTTTCGGATTCCCGGCTCGCTCTACTGAGGCTTACCCATTCTACCTCGGTCGAGCTGGAGTACTTCTGATTACTATTGTTCTACCATAATAAGCTCATTTCTATTGTGTATCGTTCCGCTTCCGATCAATATATTGGCTGATGAGCAAAAAAATGTTTGAAGAGCTACTGTTGCCGTTCAGTCACTATGACTGTATTATCAATAGCAGTCATATCGTCACGATGAGGCTCACAATTATTACTCGGATCGTGATTCCAGGCGAGTAAAAATAGTGAATCAGTTCATTTATATTACGTGTATTGGTGCCAGTTTACACATTACCTGACCATTTCTCGACCATTGCTTTGTGCTGGGCATGATTCGACATTAAGTCCACTTTACTGCCTCGTGGCCATACATGCCATTGCGAAAGCCCGCTTACAATTGAACCTCTACGATCCGTTTCCGTTCTTTTAGCCGCTACCCGAAATAGATCTGGTACAGTGCGACTCCAAAAGGAACGTACTTACTTACCCTTACTCTTAATCCATTTACTTAGCAACAAGCTCGTTAAGAGCTATTGTAAATTCATCTTTACTGGCAGTATTCAGTTTGTCGAGTCACCTTAAGGGATATCGTTATGGGTGCAGTCGTTCCTGTCTCACATGTGAACGATTCCGGTAATTATACCGGTATCGGATACACACCGTAGTAAGCTTCAGTTAACTTTATAATTGGGTGTGGGTGATCGAATGAAAACTATTGCAAGTCAATGGTAAAGCCCCAACAAAGTTTAGGAATCTAGTGGTACATGCTGGTTGTATGGGTTCCATCATGCTTTCTCACCGAATTCTGGGAGAGTGTCTTCTAATATTTTTTGTAACAAGATATTTTCTATGGCACCGAACATCTTGAGACGTCTCATATCACTTCTTTGTTCTGTGAAGAAGTACAGCTGTTGTCCATGGTAGTTAAGTATGTTGTTTCATAGTTTTAAGCGAAAAGTTCGCAATGCGATACTCTCCTTCACTCTCCCAGAACTTCCATACTCTCGTCTTCCCATGAAAGCTCATATAACCGCAGCTGCTGCTAAAAGTAGTAAGCTAGAAGGCAAAAGCGCAATTGTCTGTTAGGAGGTAAATAAAAAGTAAGCACATACATTGAAAGCTCCAGAGACAGAGTCAAGGGGGGGGGGGGGGGGGGCGTATGGGTCTCACACTCACTAATCACTTCTGACTTCGCTCACTTTAGGAAACCTCTTTCCCTGATCCCATCTCAGGATTGAGCCATCGTCTGCGTGCACGAATAGGATGGGTAGAGTGTGGTTTTCACTATTCAGGGCCCGGCTTTCGTAAACTTACCCACTTTATTGATTCTAACTACTGAAAAATCACAGCACTCGCCCTAAATGTTCTAAGACAAGACCTTTTAGACGTATGCTGCGAAATTATGGAAATGGCTAATTTCACACCCTTTTCTGACCGGGTTTGCAATCGGTTTTATACGTGGTGCTTTACAGAAGGCAGACATATGTTTAGCCTTCCACAACGGGATTCTTATTACGACCACTGAAGTTGGGGTTCGTAATATCTGCCGTAACCCATTCCTAATCACTCTACTTCTAAATAAGGGAAATCCGATGTAAGGGTTGAAACTCTGGAAAGAGATCATGTTGAAACCGATTTGTTCTTTAGGGGTGAGGTTAGGAGGGTTAGAGAAATGTCTGTACCGAACCTCGCCTTATTCAGAAAGGGACTGGGCAGGAGGCGGTGGGAAAGAGGGTCCCACTGGTGAGCAAATTTCCTCAGTGTCATTTCCTTTTCGGTACTAATCATTCAACTGACACAGCCATGAAACGAATTTTCTCTCTCTATGGCAGTCACTGGGCTGGAACACATAGCTTCGGTAGAAGTATTAGTAGCAAGTAAGACTTGTTGAAAGTTCTCACCGTTTCTGTTGTCCTAAGTGTAATTCAATACTACACAATCAGTGCTGTGACATTACTAATGCTATACTGTACCAGCCGCTTTGAAAAGAGACCAGCGTAACAAGGATTACAGCTGGGAAGCATCTCAAATTTCATGAGAGCGTTTTCTACTCGCTCGGATTCTGTTTCCGTCTGTTATCGTTGAAAAAGTCTCGTAGGCAATATGAGAGAGCAGCGACCGATAAACCAAACGGATGATAGAGCGATGTTGGCTAGGAAAAAATTGTACGGAGGGAGTACAAACTGTAGAAAGAACACGATACAATGCTAAAACTCGAGGATGCTAATCGATACTCTTCCTGAAAATTCAAAGTTTAATTTTTTTCCCTCCAAAGTTTTCAAATGAACCTCCGAAATTCCTTTCAGTTCATTTCTGCAAATTTCGTCATTCTTGTTAAAAATTTCTTGAAACTCGAGGATGGAACTCATCGAAAAATTTTTCTTTTTTCTCCGATGAAAGGGATCAGGAACTTTGAAATTCCGGGTATTGTGAAGTCACAGGCACTTCTAGGTTACTACTTTTTTGCCGTACTCAGCCTTCGAGACGCGTGCTGTCGCGATGCGGCATCGTTTACAGATAGATAATCGATAACGGTCTATGGCCTCCAATACTGAGACCTTTGAAAATATTTGTAATTGGCTTCACTGCCTCGCTTACATCTAAATAAATTTTATAGAAAGGAAAACTACAATTTCCATAAAGTCCACGTTCTTTTCAATTTCTGAATATTACTCTATTATAAACTTGTTTCAGTATTTTCTTTATTTTTTTCTTTTTTATTCTCTTATTTATCAATTTATCACTTGATTAATTTACTTTTGATCTATTTTTTCTTTCTTTTGCATGACCTTTTTATTTTTTTAGTTATTGATTTGCGACACAAGGCGAGTTATTCTTAATTTGAAAATTAATTTTAGCCCGAGCAAGTGGTGTACTGTTTGTTGCCGGTGTTGGATCGTACTGCGCATACCGGATATGCACCAAATATCTAGGGAAAAGGTTGGTTGCGATCATCGTTAGTATGAACAGTTCCTTGTTTCGTTTCCAATTTCTTCCTATATACTCATTTGTTTGATCGTTTGCTTACTTCTTTTCTTTATTTACTTATTTATATAAGCAGTTAATTAGCTTGCTCCTGTGGGCTTCGATGCTGTTTACCTACCAGTCGGTTCTGATCTTTTTTCTCATCTATCTTTCTTTTTTTCAAAAGTTTCACCTTTCCTATACTCCATACATCTCTATTTCTTTCCTATTTGGCCCTTTTCCAATACTCAAGCGATCGTGTGAGGCACGATAGGGAGAAATCAGGGGCTTTGCTACGGCCCATCACATATCCTCTAGCCACTGGTCCCCTAGGCGTTTCGAGAGGCCTCACGTAGATTCCTTCCTCTGTATTTCGTTCCGTCCCCTCGTATCTAGCACCACTGCGGTATTATCCGTGCCAACTGTCTGCGGTTTTACGGGAATTTGGCCCATTATTATAACTAGATCTTCACATTTTTCCAGCCCAACTAACTTTTGCAAACCTTTAATTACTTTCGCGAATTGAATTTGGCGACAACGGTACATTTCATATCGGAAAAATTGGTAAGTATTTAGAGCTAGATAGGATATATCAATAGAATTCGTCTGTACTATTTCGAGTTGCCCTGAAGCTGTTATTAGTTGAACTACAGCAAAACGCAACCTTGTTCATTACAGATTCGTGTGGACCCTGCTGGAATCGGCTCGTTTCGACAATCCCGCCACTGCGGACCGTCGACTGTTGTATGCTTGTGGTGTGAGTATTTCTCCGCATACAATCTACCAGCTTTCCCTCATTTTTATATGTATTTTGTTTTTTGTTTTTTTGTTATAATTTGTGATGGAAGTGCAAAACTGAAGGAATTTACGAAACTGCGCCTGGATCAGTGTATGCGCCGTATTTTGGTTTTTTGCTCTAAGTTAGTGGTAGGGCTGCACAAATCTCCCGAGGAATGGGATTCCCTGTTGTAACATTATATTCTCTATAAAGTTCCTCAAGATCCAAATTGAAAAACAGGGTTCATTGGGCTTGTCTGGCACTCTATCCCTCTACTCTTTTGGAGTTTGCCAGCGTCAAGTTTACACATATCTTTTTCACATATTTACCAATTGGAATGTGTTGTTGTTTTTTAGCCATAGACACAGTCGTGTTCATTGAAACTAACTTCACTACTGCAACTTTTAAAAGATGCCCACACTAGGTGCCTGTGTGGACAGAAACTTTCTCATTTCTTCGGCCTCATATTAGACGCATTCTCCTTTTCGTTTGCTGTCGTCTCCGAGACCAGGGAGTTCTATAATTGATTTGGGTCTATTCCGAACTCTAGATCTGTTAATCTTCACCCAAACGTTCGGAATGCTTAGATTTTAACTGCGAATGCTAGTAATGCTGTCGAGTATGTACTGTAAGTGGCAAGTTAAGCAGTTAGTTAGTAGCGACGGAAAGAAATAGGGGAGGAGAGGTTTTTGCTGAATGGAATCACGCAAATATCCAAGTCATGCGTTGAGTACGGATCACGGTGCTAGACCTACCCAAGCGTAGAGAGGAAAGGAGTGAGTCTTCGCAAGCTCCTACAGGTATCAGTATAGACCAGAAGGTCATTCCTCATGGAGATACCTTCATATTTACTACCTTTTGAGTGTCCGACTTTCATAACTATTGCTATGAAGCTGAGCTTTACTGCGGGAACTGCTACTCACCCTCCCATGAGATAATCCAGTAAGTTGTTGAGTATGCCTTACAAGTTATGCTCGCATCTTTCATTGCCAAGGAAAGAGGACCAACATAGCCTTTGTTTCGCTATGTCTGACAACTAGGGATGCCAGGTCAGTGCAGGTATTGAGCTAGAGTAGTGGTTGCTTACAGCGGTCAAAGAAAGCTGAGGCAGAATCCGAAGAAGTCAGAAACGCTTCCGAAAATCCGCAGCATAGGGTAACTTTTTCCAACCACCTTCCATCGAACAGCTTTGGCTCTAGTATCTCCACTTTCGAAGTGGGGCGTCAGTCTGTCGGAATGGCATGGCGTTGCGCCATACTTCCTTACTCAAAGCATGTACATGTTCAGAAATGACTTCTTATCTGAACCTGGTTGGGGTCGCGGTATAACTGCATTCAGTTCACCAATTTGCTACACCTTTCTTCATGCATTGCCCGAAGTGCGCACAGCTGTTCCCCATGATGCCACGTGGTTAAGTTGGACGGGCATCGGGCTGAAGCACTCCCATTCACCAGGATGTCACATGATCAAGAAGGTCATC